CAAGACAAAGCTTTTTTGATACTTCCCCCAATTTTATTTTAGAAATATTATGAATTTAAAATATGACTGTTGGAGAAACACTATGCTGGTTATATTTCTTGTGAGATAGAAGTGATATGTTTGTAATACCTTGATTTCAAGGTGACAGCTCACTTTAAATGATCTCAGCCAAAGGAAGCAAAACTGAACAACAATACGTATGTCCCTTTTACAAGGCAGCAACGCAACATCAATTCATAAGGAGGAAATCTCAGGAACTTGGTCCTGAGCTGCTAAATTTGAAAGTCCACACACCAAGTCTCTAGGCCTGGTCCGGATAGTCCCGTGACAGAAAGCACACCCATTGCAGTTTGTATGGCTTCTGATCAACACTTTCCTGCTCAGCTTCCTCTTCCTGTTTAAACAGCCCAGTCCCAGAGCGGGGAAGGGGTTCTCTTTGGATTCAAATCCAGCTGTCTTGGTTGCTGGCTATCTCAAATTACTTTAGGGCCAGTTCCAGTGCTCAAATTCTCATAGTGGGCCAGCAGGCACCGCTCTCTAGCAGGGCTCAGGACAAGTGTCATCTCTGCATGTTTCCCTCCTATGCAGCTACCGGCTCACACCCCAAGCCTATGTGGCTCCCCAGTTCCGCCTACCACCCTAGGGTGACTTAACACCCCCCCTCCTCATGCCACCACCGTCAGCACAGCCGGGCTAGAGCAGCTTCCAGCTGCTAGCTTAGTGCCATTGCCAACATGTTCCTGTGGCCCGGAGGAGATGTGTGTGCAGAGCCATCTTGTCCATAGATTGATTTGGCACAGCTGCCCTCGGACCTCATTTTGGGGGCCCTCCAGCAGCTGCCCCAACTGTCCTATGTCCAGGATCGTCCTCCATACTCAGGATAGCCCATGGGCCCTGAGTGGGCTGAGGCTCGTAGCAGGCTTCTCCTTCCCCCCCTCCCCTCCCCATTTACTGCAGACACAGGATCTGGAAGGGAAGTGAAGCTATGCAGCAGTCTGCTCCACTCTGCCACCATCTCCCAAGCCAGCCTACACTGGGGCTGGTGCGATCTACTTTCTGCTGCCATAGTGAAGCAGAGCAACTGGGCTGGTTTGGGGAGATGGCAATGGAGCTGAGAAGGGGCTGCTGCGTCACTCAGTTTCCCTGCAGCTCCTGCCACAATGGTGACTGCAGCTCCTGCCACCATGGTGACCCCTGCTGCACCCTGTGCCAGGCCCACAGGTAATCCCTGAGGCCACATTCCTTGGAGGAGGGAGATTGAGGGAAGGAATGCAATAGGGATGAGGGGAGGCAGAGGAGCAAGGAGAAAGAGGCAGGGCAGGGGTGAAGCAGAGGCTGGACTTGGGGAAAGGTACAGACACCCCACCAGGGCTGCAGTGACTGACATGCCAGCAGCTGTGTGCAGGCCAGATTATGAAAATGTTTGGGCCAGATGGCCTGTGAGTCTGAGACCTCTGTCATAGTGGATCACAAGCTAAATATGAGTCAACAGGCAAACAGGGTGGTAGTAGCAGGAGTGTTGTCAGACACATGAAGTAATTCTTCCAATCTACTCTACACTATTAGGCTTCAACTGGAGTATTGTGTCCAGTTCCAGGAGCCACATTATAGGAAATATGTGGACAAATTAGACAAAGTCCAAGAGTAGAACAACAAAAGATTGGAAACACTAGGTTTATTTAGTCTGGAGAAGACTCAGAGGGGACAATAGTAACAGTTTTCAAATACATATAAAAGGCTGATACAAACAGGAGGGAAACATTCTTCTTATCCTCTAGGATAGAGCAAGAAGCAATGGGTTTAAATTTCAACAAGGACAGTTTAGGTTGGACATTAGGAAAATCTCCCAGCCAGTGTGGCTAAGCAGTGCAATAAATTGTCAGGGGAGGTTGTGTAATCTCCATCATTGGGAGATTTTTTTAAGCGTAGATTAGACAAACACCAGTCAGGAATGGTCTAGATAATCCCTAGTCCTGCTTTAGGTGCAGGGGACTGGACTAGAAGCTCTCTCAAAGTTCCTTCTGGTCCTATGATTCTGTAAAATCTCCCACTGACTTCAACAAGTTTACATTTCATCCTGTAATACAAGTGTGCATTGAACTAGCCTGCCAATGTACATTTTTGTTGTTGTTTTATTCCTGGTTAGTCTTATTACAGAATCATAAGTGTTAAAGATGGAAAAGATTTCCTACATGATTCATTTGGTCATATATCTTGTGTCTTATCTGACCAGGTGAGGGACTGTGTTTAAGGTTTATTCACCACAGAGGTCAAAACAGAAAATTATATAGGCATATTAAAATAGTTTCAGAAAACATACCAAGACCATGTGCCCTCTCCTACTAGTTTTATATGACAAGACAAATTTGTTGTATTATGAAAAAGAAAACATGTGCCATATATGCACCAGTTTCTCATTAAGCTGAGCATGTAGCTAGAATCAATTTGTTTAAATATTATATTATTTATATTTTTAAACTAACAATTGGTCTCAGTCTAAGGGTTGGGTGTGGGGAAGCCACTTTCATTTCTTTATTTGCATTCTTATCTAAAATAAAATTTATACTACAAAATTTGTCAATCTATGAAAAATAGACTTTAAATCCCCATTTGGTACCCTCTATTGATTGCATACATAAAGTTACACGTCTAATTTACCCAGTGTAAGTGAAAGCAGAATAAACCTCAGGTTTTCTTGTCTTGGCTATCCATCAGGCTATTGCTTAGTTACAGGAGTATATATGCCTCTCCCCTAACTGGTACTAACATTATCCGAAGTTCATGTTTCTTTTAGAATACCAGACTTATAATAATTCAAAATTTATCCTAAAATAGATTATCTACTACATGTTGTCTTCCCAAAGAATCGTTCCTTCCTATCAGCTTCCTCCAGTCCAAGATTATCAACTCAAGTTTACAGTCATTATGAAGTTACAAAAGCTTCAGAGGGGTAGCCGAGTTAGTCTGTAACTGGAAAAACTTAAAAACCAGCGAACAGTCTAGCAGCACCAAAGACTAACAAAACATGCAGATGGTATCATGAGTTTTCGTGGGCACAATCCACTTCTTCAGATGAAGTTATACATTCAAAGACATGCTCAGAGCCTGTTATTTCAGTAGGTCACTGCTTGGAAACCTGTATCTCACCTGACCTTCCAAATCACGCCATGCAGGCCCAATCTGCTCCAAGGGTTTGGAATAAATACCTTTGATAAGTTTTATTCTTGTCACATATGGTGAAAAAACAAGCAAGCGGCTTCTCTTTTATTTTTTTTTTCCCCCCCCTCCCTCATGCCAGAAGAATGAGGTATCTAAAGATAATGTCAAGTTTGAAATACATTATTCTCTCATGTTTGGAGAGTACTGGTCCAGAGTATGGTTTTCCTTTGTTTAGCATGAAATATACAGGTGCAAGATTGTATATTTTGTTGCCATGGCCAACAAAGAAATTTGGTGGGATTATGAAACTCTAATCACAAATAATTTTCTTATGGTTCTTTCCATCAAGGAACATGTACATCATGATATTTCTGTGTATGCATCTTCCTAATGGCTCCACATCTGAAGAGGCTAATGAGCATCAGTAATTTCACTCAAGTGGAAAAATAAATTATTCCCCAAATTGGCCTTTGTTGGACTAGAGAACTTTCCCAATGCAAAAGCATTATGCAGCTGAAGTAATTCCTTACTTAAATTAATGAAGTGTCTAGCTGATCAGTACTTCTAAATTACAGCTAAAATACTCCTTCCTCTAAACTTCTGTGCTAAGTGACATAATCAGTCATTTAACTGACAGAATTTGAATTCTGTTTTTTATTTTCATATTTTTTAGGTCAAATGTTTATTTCCAAGTCTATCGCTTCTTTGAAGCTATTACCAAGGTCCCCCCATACACTTCCATAGACATTCATTCATGTACATAAAGATGCACGTGCCTTTCTAAGAGCAATTTACAAACTAGGTATTATCATAATTTTTATTGCAAAAGAGATAAGGGCAGGCCTAATCTATTCCAATCTACAGTACATAGGGTTTATACAACATCTACCGCTGTGCCATCAAGAGTAAAACACAAAACAAACAAGACGACTTATATTAAATGAGTTTCTGCACCAGTCTCGCAAGCTATGGATAATAAGCTACCTAATACTCCATTTATCAACAATTTTATACTTAAGTGCTGTTAGTCACCACACTGTTAGGTTGTGTGTTGCTTTGTGAGAAAGCAAGATTGGAAGAGTGAGTTTAGCTGAAAGTTGTGGGATGTCTGGTCATTCATCGTTTCTGTTGGGGTGAATTTCAATCAGTTGCTGAAACAGCCCCGTCTCTTTCCTATAGGAACTTCACCCTTCAGGTAAACACTTCCATTCTTCCTAAAGGAGCAGAGTTGCCTAAAGTAGTTGGGCTGGTCCTGTAGGCATCTAACTAATTTAATGATTTGAAATTAAAGTCTTTAAACTTAACCTTTTGTTCAGTGGAGAACTTTTACTGGAGTAACCATCGTATAGCAGGGATGTGCCCTCATGAGTTGTACTTCTGAGGAGGCAAGCTGCTATATTCTGTGCCTCTTAGAAGCTTTTTCGAGGTTTATGCCTTGAAAAAGACATAATTCCAGTCATCCAATCTGAAGATAGTGAGGATATGTGATTGAGACCAGGTCATACTGGTAACAGATAAGATAGTTTCCTAGCTTGCCACAGATAGTGATTTTCGTGGCTGATGATATGAGAAAGTCTATATAAGTGTAGAAGGACTCCTATACTACAAATTGTTAAAATAATCTGCAGACAAATATGCTCCATTAGATAATGTCCCATTGTAATCTCCATTTTATTTAGAGTTAGCTCCAGTCAACAACTTCTCATCTATGTGCTGATACTGGCCAGATTTTGGGACAGGTGATGGTGGTGGTGTGTGTGATGCAAAAGATAAATAGAATCAATTGCTGTTTGCTCATAACTTCTGTTTATAGCATTAAGTCTCACAATTTATCCCTGCAGGTAAAGGAAGATACTGAATAGTTCACAAGAGAGGAATGATTTTTACAGTACTGCAGAGATGTCCTATCAGTACAGGAGTGGCTGTCAATCAGTATCCTACAGGCCTCAAGAAAAATTCAGTCAATTTCAATGGTTTTCTTTGATTCCTACCAAATGGCTTACCCAGTTATGGGATGTCTCTCTTCTGCCTATGTCAAAAGCTACCGAGAAGCCTAGGAGCAAGATGACTACAGAGATTTCCCCCTTAGCTACTGATAAGAGGAGACAATCCTTCGCCTGTCAAAACCAGATTTGCAAAGAGTTCTTTAAGTACCATTCATTAAACAGTTTTTTTGTTTTAAATATTTTCACAGCTGCCAGTCAGCCAATCCTGGCATGCTTTTTGAGATATAGTGGTATCTACTGGTTTTTGTATTGCATCTGTACAAAGACTAAAAGAGAAGAGTCAAATTCTCCTATTTCAATGAGAGCATGATCATCTCTGTTAAGACAACAAGAAAAAACTGTTTTAACATGCCTTCATGTTGGATGCCTTCTGATGTTCTGGTATCATCACCCAAAGAAGTGGCAATTCAAGTTATTACAAGCTGATGTTGCATCAACCCCTCATATATTTTATGTTTTGGATGCTTTTAATGACTTATAAGTCATGACTAGCCTTTGAAAAACAGGCTGAATGGCTACATTATTTTTGCCTGAACTAAAACATGAGCAAGAATTTTTGTTTTAAGAACTATCATAATGCATCCAACTCAGATCAAAACGTTCCATTTACAAAAAACTCTGTTCATAATGTGTGTTTATTTTCAGATACTTTTCCTTCCTTGGTTTGTAATTCCAAGAGTCATTAAAAATGCAGTGACCTCTCAAGTCTAGTCTAGGGGCTAATAATAATATGATGTCTCCCCACCACCAATATTTCTAGTAGGTTGAATGTTATTGGTAGGGTACACAAATGCCACTTAAAATCCACATACAATTAGACATAATCATTCATATATGTTAAGGTTAGGGAGAACCCTTGTGATCATCGGATATTCTGTACAGCAGTGGTTCCCAACCACCAGGCCACGGACCAGCACTGAGCTGCAAACTGCTGGCGGCCGGACTATGGCACGTTAGCAGGCCCGGCCATGCTCTGAGGATTGGCTCGGCAGGAATCTAAGTTCCCTGTAAGTTGTGCAACAATGCAGTCGCACAGCTGCTAACTGAGTCCAGCCCAGAGGTCTAGGGCTCCCACACAGAGAGCTTCCTGGCTGGAGAGGCGCACTCCACAAGCAGCAGAAACTCCCTGCTTCAGGCAATGAGCATGCTGGTAGGGAAGGAGACATAGGAAGGGAGGAGGGAAA